TACATGAAGGCTCCCTCGACGTAACGCGCGCGAAAACTTAAGTACTTCCGGTTTTGACCGGACAATCCCTATTTTTGACCCACCCTCACTAGAGCCTCCCTACCCAGAACATGCTTTAGTGGCGCTCTCTCGCGTCGTCGACACTGAGTGCGGCAGCGCGGCAGCCGTGAGCGCCTGCGATGAGCCCACTACCCCTCCTCTAGTTCACGGCTACTCAAGCAACCAAGGACGTCATGAGGGAGGTTATTTTTTGCCTGTTTTTGTAATATTGATTTGCCTATAACTTTTAAAATAAAGCGAATTTCGAGAGAAGAAAAGTTTCACTAAGTTACTACGTTTAGTGCGCTCAGGTTCAGTGCAAATTAAAAACCAGTAAAAAAGTCCTTGCAGAGCCCCTTTTAACCAGGGTCTTAACAACGAGTAGAAACCGTGTCTAAAGCACACTGCCGCCAGCCTCTGCAACGCTAGCGAAAACGCGAGATTGCCACGTGCGAGAAGGCCGTCCGGCGGCTTCACCAAAGTATTTGGATTCAGCCGGGAATCCGAGGAATCCACCCCGCACGCCTGCATCACGCGGATCATTTACTGGTTTACTCGCGATGTCACGTGATATCACCCGCCGAGGTAGAAAACCTAGAAAACGGGTTACTCGAGTTTTGGAACATAGCTACCATAGCTACTAGGGGTGTCGCGAACTTTTGTCGAACCAGATTTTTTGGTCGAACTTTCGGGGTTCGACTGGGTCGAACCGGTTCGACGAACCTTCGAACTTTTCACCAGATTCGACCGGTTCGACTTTGTGGACAGAGTGGCCAGACCTTGATACAAGCATGTCTAGGTTTGGAGAATTTCTTTTTTTATGTAAAGGGTTATTTTATTCTGTGAACAGCTGCAATTAAAAGAAACTAATTCTATTCACTGAAGAAGTTAATAACTTAAATTTTAGTACTGTATTGACTGAAATAGCCGATCAGCGCTGCACTTAATTCATCTCTTAGCCATTACCATCCAATGGACTTCTTCCAAAACCGACGCGCCCCATCGCGGCGAAATACCACGCAGTGCACTCTGGGAACTAGTTGGCCACTCAGTTTCGGTTTCGACTGAGCAGCTTCATCTCATGCTATCACGCCGCGACCGAACGCGCTGCTTGCGTTTTCGACTATCTGACTTTTCACGAATGTACAATACACTCATTCTCGAGCGATACAAAACGAAGACCGAGACACTTTCCTTGATTCCTGAAACACCGGATATTGTGCGTGCGTATGCAAACGTAGTAAGACGTGGCTTAGTCACCTCACCCCAGGAGTACATCTTCGAGCTCAATGTCAGTAATCCCGTCTAGTACCAGTGAACTAGAACTGAAACTTGGTCATCTGGAGCCTTACACGTATTTTGTTTACCAAACGTCCGCTTCTTGTTACTTCATTGGGCGAAAAGCAAGCCGCATCCTCACAGGAGTATCAAAGTTGCGCCCAGCGTTGACGCATGAACTTTTAAGGAAACGCAATAAATTCTACCTCACTACTACACAAAAGTTACTATGATGTCTTCCTCGTGTCATCCTATACCTCCCACTCAAATTTTATGCGGATAGAAGATTACGCTTTTGCAAATGCTGAGATCGGCTAGCGACAGAGGCCCTAACTAGCGTCCCCTACTCCTCGCTAAGCCTCTTTGGACGAGCTTTTACTGACGCCCAAGATCTGTGCCTGAATGGTGTGTCTGAAATTATCTCGGCATACTCAGGCAGGAAGAAAGCCAACACACAGCAAATAGTATGGCCATTAGCAACGGTCAAACGCCCTTTGAATAATTTCGTTCGTTTGGCGCACCGCATAGAGGTTCATGCCCGTCCGGCGCACTTCCGGCGAACGGTGCGACATTTTTCACACAAGTGCTCGAATTTCGCTTTAGTAGAGAGTTTTAGTAGATCGTTCCCATGGCTCCGATAACGATACCCGATACTCCGCCACCGCCTCCCTTGCGCATGCATAGTATCGTTATCAGGGCTATCGGAGGTATCGGAACGATCTACTAAAACTCTCTATTGAAACGGTCCGTATGTGCAAATGTGCCTATATGATTGCAGGATAACTTTATGCGCATACACGATGCTGAATATTAGTGGAATGCAAGCGGGTGGGGACTTCACTTCGTGCAGTGCTGCGGGTCAGCACAGATAAGAGATAAGAAGTGTGTTAAAATTGAGCTTTTCAATGGCGCCTCCGAGTTTTACCTCGCGTACTCAGTCGTATTAAGAAAAACAGTAATTGCAAAAAGTAATATTTTGTATATATGGACGCATGAAACAAAAAAACTTCCTGATCAACAACACTGATGCAAAGGTGCGAGCTCGATGTATGCATACTTATTGGTTGCTACAGCTTGTTGATTCGTACACAAGCAAGATCCCCGAGCTTCGCAGCGTCTAGATTCCCAGCACTGGCTGGTCCACATACCTCGATTGGAGCGCTAACAAAAAGGCTCAAGTACAAAAATACAACAAGCATGTGTTAAAGGGACACTGACACCCCCCAAATTTTTATTTAATTTTTTGCCAGGCGCTTCATTATGGTGTCGGAGGACTACCCAATTAATATTTTGCAACAGAGTAGCGTATTTTTTTAATAAAGCCAAAAGACGCAACTGCTCGAAACCGAAACCGAAACCGAAACCCGACGGAGGTCGGAGAAGTGGAGAGAAGAGAGCAAGTGGCGGAAGTCACGTGGCTACACCCGACCGTGTTTTTTTTTTTTTTTTTTTTTCTCTCTTTCCCGGTAGCAGACGACATGCGGCGTACGGGAACTGTTCGTCGTGGGATTCTTTTGCAGTTATGTATGTTCCGCTCGTTGTTCTGTACTCCAAGATGAGCTGTTTTGTATATTGAGGAGTTGGAGACGAGTAGTGAGTGCCCGTGGTGAATTTTGATCGGCTCCGAAAAGAATACACCCAAGATGTTGCGTGAAGAGCTGGCTCACATGCCCAGCGTCCGAAACAGAAGTGGCATTGTGCGACAGAGTTTCCGAAATATCAACGGGATCGAGACCAACGGCTGGCTGCAATTCCTGTAGACCATTTACGGGCATTCGGAAAGCGGACGCTACCTGATTTATATGCTCCTTGCATTTTGTGGAAAGTGATTACATTGAGTTCGCAGGTGTCAAAAAGGAAATCCCATACCATTTAATTCAGCGACGTGTCGTCCACAACACTTGTTTATTTTTTTTTTTGTTTCTTCAGTGATAATTGTAAAAAAAGAAAAAAAATGTAGACATAAAAAAACATATGAAAAAACAAAAAAGTTTCACACGGGATCGAACCCGATCCTACGACGTGTAAAGCGGACGTCTTTCCCACTAAGCTACTGGGGCATATCGCAAATAAGGGATCTCTTTCCTTAGTAATAATTCAGCCGATAAACTAAGTTGGAAAGTTTACTACCGATTTTCCTTTAGCAAAAGCACTCCCGGGTCGAAGTCGGGATGCACCCCGCATTGGCGACATTCTCACCTTGTAAAGAAATCGTACGCCTGCATATTCAACTCGAAGTAGACACGTCGTGCTTGACGTTGGCGCGAGCGATGTCTTCAGCCACGAGAAGGGAGCGACGGCTCGGCGACGTCTTCTTGCAAATCGGCTTGGTGGTCGGGCGTGTCGTACGGGATGAAGACCAATTCTTTTGATCAGTCCCAAATTTCTCTTTTAAAGGCAGACAAAATTCTCCGGTACCGCGAACGACAGTTCTGAAATAAAGGTCCCACGCCCGTCGTCCGCTGCCATCGCGTCCCTGCGAGTCCCACGATACGCGAAACGACGCACGCACAGAATGCTTCCGGTTGTCTGTGAAACTTGTTTTTCAATCAACGTATTTGCAGCTTTTCAGAAGCCACAAAAAATGGGTTTCGTATTTTTTTCTATTTTTAATATTGAGAGTGTGCCTTCAGTGACCCACGACTTTGATTAAATTTGGTAGTCGCATCGATACCTTAGAAAACGGCCCGTGACCGCGGAAAAGAGAGTGAGCGAGACTCGAACCGGCCAGTTCTTGATCGGCGGTTTTCGGGCGGAAAGAAACCGAATTTCGAGCCTCAAATTCTGTTCTGGGTAGTTGAGCTCTCATATGTCACGTAAAACTAAAAACCTCGGCGAGCATAAATACCCTGTCAGTGTCCCTTTAAGACAAGCTATACGTCTCGGGCTTGTGCTAAAGCTTCGAGGTCTGGCCTTTTGGGTCAGTTTAGAGACCACAAATGACGTTCTCGGGACCAGAAAACATGAGATAACGGCCGTTAATAGTCCACGCTCTGTGTATAATCTCTTCTCGACGTGTCGATCGAAACCGAAACCATGCCACCCTCCTCCCTGGCCAACTAGTTCCCAGGGTGCAATGCGCGCCGTGTTGCATGCAGGGATTTATGGAAGTAGTCTATCCGAAGCCAACTGGCCAGCCTGTCGCGCATGCGCACACGAGTCGAACCTCAATACAAGGTTCGACGAACTTTCCACTAAAAGGTCGAAAAAGTCGAACCTGGTCGAACTCGAACCGCGGCCGGTTCGCGACACCCCTAATAGCCACCATGTGATATGACCCGCGGGAGTAACTCGAATCTACTCGAGTAAAATTTGGAACGCAGCGAACACAGCCTTTGTCTCATTTTTCTTGTATTTTTTTGTTATTGTATTTTGCTTGTTGTGTAAAGTCAGCGTACTTATTTCAGTTATTTCAATTTTTTTTTTTTTTTTTTTTTTCTGAAGCCGTACGTGGGTTTTGGTTTCAGAATGACGCATGTGCGGTTGCTTGTTTTCCCGAGGTTCATTCTCTGCTCCAAAAGAAAGCCGCGCGTGTATTTCCAGGTTTGGAAAGGGCCGCTGTATGAAAACGTTGATTATTTGCCTCAATGAGGCGCATAAAAAGTCACGCAAGATGTTCAGACCACGCACCCGTCGCCGCAGTCACGTGACAAAAAGAGCTCCGTGTTTTGGTGGGTCCGAATAAAACAAAAAGTTCAAAGTTGCGCTTGCGCAGACATCTGAGGGAAGGTTTTGTGGGACCTTGTTGCGTGCGTTTTCTCGCCGTTTTATTTACTTCCCTGTTAGCACATTTAAGTGTAATCTACGAATGTGAAATCCGTGGCGTACAGTCGTCGCCGCACAGTCTGAGCTATTCTACGGGCCAATGGGACTGGGAGAAACGCTGGCGATACTTGCCCCACTTGGCGAGCGCGTCCTATGAGTGGGGTCGATAAGGGCGCTTCTAGCGTCTGTCCCTTGGCTAGGCTTTAACCCTATGGTTTAATAAGGTGTGCCGGCATGGCATCTGGCCAGGTAAGCAGATTTGCGCAGCTTTCACCTCTCGCACGCCCGCTCCGCGGTTTTGTCTTGTTGTTTGGGTGCACTGGCAGGTCTTAGGCCTACGTGAGTTGACCACCAAGCGCGGCTGAAAAGCCATGCGTTACCTTGACAGTTGATCGTGGCTGCGAGCAGAAACTGGGACCAGCAATGTGTCTAGTATCTCTCAAATTCATTTAGGGCGAAGTGCATGATGCGACGGGACTACGCAAATTTGATGGAATGGGCTTTCAACCCATCCATTCGTTATGAGAATGAATCCAGTCTCCAGGTTTATCGTCCGCTCGAAAAGGAGTTACTTTGACGAGTATATGTGAAGCAACGACAGCGCCCTGCGACGCTGATTAGCGTGGTCCCGGTCTTTTCGAGAATGCTTTACGTACGATGTCGTGCACCACGATGGGAAGTGGCTAGAAGTACGACGCTGGATGAAGTGAGGCGCGTGTGTGTGAGCTTCGCGTCTTTTGTGCCGCTTCAGAACCAGGCGGGACACGAGGGAAGCCGGATTCCGCACAAGGTCTTCATTCAGCGCGACTACTCTGAGGGAACATCCGTCAAGTTCCAGACAAAGTTCCCGCAAGAACTTGAAGGCTTGGTACACCTTTTCATCTGCTTCGTCTCTCCTTATTTAGGACCCTTGCGTAATCGGAATGTTTGTCTGCAATGACTCGCCTGCACGCGTTTACAGGAGATAAGCCCGTGTTTTGAACACGCCATGTAATGGCAGCATCAAATGGTTTCGCCAGATATATTGATGCTGGTATTACTGTAATGGCAGCTGTGTCCAGAAAGCATGGCAGTAAATGTGGCATCTGTGAATACTTTATCTAGGAGTCATTTGCGCCGTTTTGCATGGTCTCTAAAGAGAAAATGGTCGAAGTGTGCAGATGAATGAACCGTAATGTGGTGCACTGGTTAGCATACCTGACCGGTAACATGGAAACCTGGAGTTTGAATCACGGTGCCGCCAAAGATAGTCTCTGTTGGCTTCGTAACATCCCATTTGATCAGTGGGAATGTGGGGAGGAATGGGACAGTCTTCCTGATAGAATTTTTTGTGTTTATTGAGCATAGAGAGACAAGTCTAATGTTCTATGCACAAGATGAAAATCCCTTCACATTAGCTGAGCAGCATTGTGCCCTAACTCTTGTAGAAAAGCTTAACAAACAAAAAATATTTAGAACCAAAATGTGTCCTATTCCATCATCCCCCCAGGGAGGAGTGGGAGATCAAATGGGAGGAATAGGACATATACAAGATTCCACTAGAGTACTAAATTGAATGGCTGTTCAGTGGTCATAACTTGAGGAGCTATATATTTCCTGGATCATACTGTTTTTCATTGTTGTTGTTGTTTTTTCTTCGTACACGCACCAGTTCAGTTCCTTTTGTTCTTAAAGGGCCTTCCTTCTCATCCTTTGAGCCATTTCTTGTTCAGTTGCAAGTTTCTCTTTGTTGTCAGTTAACACTTTGGTCCTCACTTTCTTCCCTTTATGCGATACAGCCTTTGGGCAAGGGTCACTAGGAACAGTAAAGGCCATGGGCATAGTTGGCCTGCACACTGTTTCTTGGCTTCTGCATGCAGCAGGGTCAACTACATCCTTGCTTCAGTTTTATTGAAAGTTGTGTTGGTACAACAGACCTCTTCGAAGGAAACACATCAACTGCTCGCTTCACTCATGACGACGTCTGTTTTCTCAGCTACCCGTTTGCTGGAGGACACTTTGACTGTGTTCCAAAATTGATCCAACTCCGGAGTAAAGGTTTCGTACCGTGGCATTTCAATACTTACTCGGGCTTACTCAATGACGTCAAAACTCGTATTCCAGAAGCAGGTTGTTTACTCCGGAGTAATTACTCATGCTACCCTCCTTGATCAGGGGGTAACGTCGGATCAAATCGAGTAAATACGTCACGTGATCTGTTTGTCGTCTGCTTTTTGCGCCGAGAGCCGTCAAAGCTCGTTTGCTCCGTTGGCTTTGGTGGTGGACGTTCGAAATGACAAAGAATGAGGTGCAGCCATTTATGTGTGGTTATTTCGATTTGATGTCTTCAATGCACGAATTACATCCAGACCGTGCACCTTCACCGGGAAGGTATACTTGTTGTTATTATTAAAGTGAGTGTAACTCCGCATCCTCGTCCTCGGCGTTGGAGGGAATGCCGTATTCTCACGTTCAAGGCTGAAAATGTTTGAACACAGTAAATGATGAGGTAGTATTTTTGTTTCCCCCAGAGCGTGTGTAATGAGGTGAAGGCTTAGAATATTTCATGTATATGATCAGTCAACAACCCCTCCCCATCTCCCTCCTCTTTGTGATTTTGTAATCATATTCGCGTCAAAGCAAACGTAAGTTGCATATACCTCTTGAAAAAGCCCCCTGCACTGTACCGCTACACTGTGCGGAAACAATTTCTGCAAAAAACGTAATCGGTGCAAATTACAATGTGTGGAATATATGCGTTTAGGGCACCTGGACTAAAATTACAGCGATCACGCTGATTAATAAAAACAAAATTTTGATGTCTAACTGTAAGGAGTAAGTAATTTTGATCTAAATATACAGCTCAAAAGGAAGGCGAGTAAAAAGAGCTGGTGGATCCACCTCAGAAAACACCGCATCGTAATTAATATTATCGTCTCTTCGAGTTCTTTCTCCACGATCACAAGGATCGTCTGCTATTTTCTTCCATCGCTCCTTTGTTTTCTTTTTGTCGTAGCCCAAGACGAGGCCAATCCGCGTAGTATCCAGGTGATTACCCCGGCTACAGTTTTATTCCGGCCTTTTCAAAATCGAGTCGCAGATCACTTAATTGCGGTGTCACGTGTTATTACCCGCCGACGTAGGAGACTGTTTTCTCGGGTAAGATTTGGAACAAAAGACACCAGGTAGTCCTCCATGAAAGGCTCACTGTTAAATGGCAAATACCAGTCTTCTGAAAACCTGATATTATGTTCTGTGTCACTACTGATGCGTATGTAGATCCGAGGAGCTCTGCAACGCAGTGTATGGTGATGGTCTTTCCTGAGTTGTTTAATAGCCAGTCATTGCACGTGGCAATATATCAAGATTTTAATGGTGTGAATACGGACACGTGAAGAGGTTGCAGTGGGAGGGTGGAATGGAAGCAGGCAGACACCATTCTCTTGCCTTGATGGCTCCTGTGGCTTTTGTGATTGTCAAGAACTAAAAGAATGCGGTCTTCCATGGAGCACTTTGTGTGCCTCCAAATGTGTTCCAGTGCAAGTGGAAAGAGTTAAACGGACATCCATCCTGATCGGGTTGCTAAACCCTAACTTCCAGCTGGAGCGCACTTCAGAAAAATAATCTTTGTACCTGATTATTGGGGAGATAAAAACTGGTGGAATGGCATTGCTTATGGCGTTCACAGTGCACATTACCGTAACTGTTGTGTTCATAAACAATATAAAGGGTTTATTGAGGCAACTATTACAAGTTCCAACATCTTGTCGGGTCGAATGCCCAGGCCAGAACACCCCTGCGACGAGAGTTGCTGCTTCGACCACACCACCTGGTGGCGCTCACGACACCCCCCTTTCTTTGAAGTCTTGTCTTGTTTCTATAAGTCAACTGGGAGGTCTTGTTTGTCGACCATTTCTTGTGGTGACTACTCCGGCTGCAGAGGCTGCAGATGACGGCTGGTGCGATGCTGCCGGTCGTGCCCACCACATGAATGTGGAGATTGAGCAGGTTGCTACACTGGGCAATGGTAATTCCGTGTTGTGCTGGAGCTTTTCACTCAACTTAGCATCAATTAGTCCCACAACGAGTCGGTCTCTGATCAGTTGATCTTTCAAGTCGCCGTACTCGCAAGTTTCGGCCATTTTGTGTGGATCCATAACAAAGACGTCAACGGTCTCATGTGCCGCTTACTTGCGGCTGTTGAACCTTGCCCTTTTGTAGATCACATTTGTGACTGGCACGAAGTGTTTCGCGAACGGTTGCGTCACGGCATCATAGTCTGGTTTCTCAATGTCTGTGAGTTTCAGCAAGGCTAACACACCCTCCGCTTCACTGCCCATGGCGTAGACCAAGGTGTTGACTTTGGTCTCTCTATCTTGTTTCTTCAGGTCTGAAATGATCTGGTAGCGCTCCCATCTTGTGTATCAACATTTCCAATCGTCTCTGCACTGAAAGTGGAACTTGATGACAACAGGTTTAACGATGTTGGTTGCCGAGTGGTTGATATCCTTGGTTGCATGCGGGTCGGCGTAGTTCTTGCTTGACATACCTTGGAATCGTTTCAGAATCCAACCGTATTCAGAGTGTGCGTGTGTGTGCCGTTGTTGCGTGTCGTCTTTTCGTTGCCGTATCCCACCGCTGCCACCATGTCGTGTTCACGATCAATATAAAGGGTTTATGGAGGCAACGATTACAAGTTCCGTCGTCTTGTTGGGTCGAGTGCCCAGGCTAAAAGACCGTCATGGTCAGGGCCGGACTAAGGTAGGGGCTAAGGGGGCTACAGCCCCGGGCCCCCGACTCTCTGGGGGCCCCCATGCAGCTCGTAGAAAGAAAAAAAAGCCGAAATTTAAAAATATTTTGGAAAGCGACGTTGCTTTGCCGCAGCATTCAAGGAGAGGGAACGCGCACTTCGCGTAGCACACCCCTGTCCCTGTACAAAGCCGGCCCTTTGGGTGGGTGACCGGCCCCCGAGGGTGCTTGTCCGCTTTCTTTTGAAAGCGGCTTTGAGCAAACGAAGAAAACACGCGAGGGGCCCCACAATCTGGGGTTTTAGCTTCTCTTTTCTTTTTTTTTTTTATCAGGAAGGGAAATGTCATAAACACCTCCCCCTTCACTCTACTCGGGCTCGTGTCTCGTGCACGAAAACACATGTTTTTCAGCTCTTACACTTTGAAAGTGCGGCCTTTGACGTTGCTGGGGAAGGGAACAAAGCTGCATGCCGCCTCCGCGCGGTGGTCTTGCCGGAGTGCTCCCTAGTTGAAACCAGATGGGAATGGTAAATCTTTTTGTATTTTGAGGCTACTTTCTATTGATTAAAAAAATAAAGGAAACTGCATTATTTCCCAGGTTCATTGCATTAACCAGACATCATTATCATCATCACCGTCGCCATCATCATCATCATTAGGGCCCCTGAAGCGTCCTTAGCCCAGGGCCCCGAGATGCCATAATCCGGCTCTGCCCATGGTGAGAGTTGCTGCTCCGACCTTGCCAACCTGGTGGCGCCATCTGTGAGCTGTAGTGCTCACGACATTAACCAACTCCCCTCACTCGGCTGATGTCACTTGCCCAACTTGTTTTTCTTCGTGTGTTGTAGCAACCTTTGGTGGATCGTATGCGGTAGTAAATCCAGTCTCATCGCAGTTGTGGACGCAGTCAGGAGCGATTTGTAGCAATCGTAGATGCTTTTCAGGTTAGAAAGGAAAGCGTCCAGATTACTTTTGTTGAAGCTTGTGACTTGTCCAAGACTGGAGTCTGGGGACCGAAGTGACAGCTGAGGGAGGTGTTCCATGAAGCCGATGAACCAGTCCTTGCCAGCCATTTTGTTGGTTTCCCATAACACCAGACACTTGCGGTTTAAGGCTTTCGCGTACTGGTAAGCCAGTGAATGAACCTGCATGCTTGTGAGTCCATAATGCATCTTACATGCTTTGAGCAAATAGACTCGAGAGTTTTTTTTTCCATTTTCTGCTGTGAAGACCACTTCACAAGAAATTTTATCGCTCGACCAAGTGGTGATTTTGATATCTTCAGAAGCTTGTGCCACATCCCGTGTACATTTTTTCTTCGTTGCACACCAATCAAAAAGCCTCGTATGTTGACTTGTTTGAAGCTTGAGCTCTCTCGAGGTGTGTTCCTTTTCCATATCTTTGGCATCTTCCTGTGAAGTGAATAAGTAAAATATTGGCTAGACTTGTCCTTTATGATTAGTGAGTTCAACTTTGTATGACTCAATAGTTCTGAATTAAGTACTCATTCTCGGCAATAGAATGTTTTCAATTTCAAATGCAAGGCATCTCAAACAAATTTATCAGAGAGCCCTGGGGTTGAAGGGCACAGCCCCTTTTACAGAAAATTAATAACTAGTGGCCTAAATTCTATGCCAACTAAGATCATTCACCGTTAATACAGGTCAACCTTTAAATTGATCTTCTAATGAGAGCACCAGCCTTCATAAAGGAAGGACAGTGTTCCATCCCACCCACCAACTAGCTGTCCCATTCCTCCCAAACTGCTTTGCACATGGCAAGTTTTAAATGATAGATACGCACCGGTGCTAAAGCAAGTTATTTGTGCATCTTTTCGAGGTTAGTTTACCGCAGTCATTTGCTCACCCACCTCGATTGAAGAATCAAACCAAAAGAATGTTAGCCGCCTTTTGAGTGCCAAGATTGCAACCTGCGACTTCACCCCTTAACCTTTTTGGACGAGCCTAACTCGTCAACGTGGAGCCGTCTCCAAACCAATCAGGACAAGTATAGCCCGTCTGCTTTCCTCGGTTCACGCACTCGACCGTTGCTTGCTCGTGGCGTAGTTTGCGACTGTGCCAACAGATGACGGCACTGAATTTTTTTCAGTTTGGCTTCCATTCTGTTTGTGGAGAGAAATATTATTTCAAAGGTGAAAAATATCATATTGGAGACAACAGTTACGCAGTTGGGGGTCAGAAATTCCAAGAAAGGGTTAAACTGTGAGCACCACACCGACCAGGAACACGTTTAGTATTGAAACGATTGAGAGCCTGTATTACAGAGTGTGTCCAACCGCTCAATCGAGGTCACGAGGTTGATGGGCTGCTTTTGCAATATGAGTTGCCAGAAGGTGCTGAAAGCGTTGATTGTCGCAAACGTCTTTGCCTTTCCGCTTACCGTATTTTCCGGACGATCAGTTGCACCCTTGTATAAGTAGCACTTCCTTATATTCATCCGTTTTTGCGGAACACTTGATATATAAGCCGTACCTCTTTGCACAGTTCACACAATGAGTTTTTTTTTTTTTTCATTTTGCGCGCATTGGTATTACAAAATCGGAGTTGCACACAATCGGCTAGATCGCACATACCGTTTGACGCGCAACTTGTAACGTCTTGACTCGCGAGAAATGCCCATAGCACGGCGCTACCTGGCGGGGGAAATCAAGTGATCCGCAGCAAAAGGACGTAAAGCACATAAAGTGTGAAGGTTGTCTGCTTTATTCGAGCATACACGTGCCGAGCGAACGAAAGTTTAAAGAGATGGTGAACCGAAATTTGGATTTAAAAAAAAAACGATGCAGGAGACGTAGGCGGGACGCTACAATCCCTACAACACTACTCGCAAGGTGATATCTCGAATGGACGGCCGTATTTTTGGAAAAAGAGGTCGAGATTAAACCAGGCCGACGAGGCGCGTGACGTCAAGATATTGTGTTTCCTCTTCTCTTAGCTTCGCTCCCTCAAGGCCGCGAGGCGGAGAAGACGTGAGGCCGTTCCCTCCTTCTCGGAGAAACATGACGTGAACATTCCTGCCAAATGCGCTTCCTTGTTTGAAAAATATGGTTATCCGTTCGAGATATCGCTGTATGAGTGATGTTTTCATGTCTGTAGCATCCCGTTGCACGCTTTTGCTGTGTGTTTTGGGGAAATTCAAATTTCGGTTCAGTATCCCTTTAACATGCCAGACACTCGTGACCCAATCTTTGGAGCACTAGTCCTAGCCTAGGCCAAGTCATGGAGACTATGCGAGCATCGATGTGCAGGCAGATGGATAAATCTTGACATACTTCTTTGGGTACTGCTAAAAGATCGGCTAGCCGCGATCCTTCCTTTTACATGTAGCAACACGTCTGGAGCATGGCATATAAAAACTGCTCATCAAACAAAAACTGAGAAAGACGAGAGCAAAATTTCTGCAATGCGTGTTTACCAGCCTCCTTACCTTTCAGTGTTACTGGACTGAGGCAAAAGAATACGGAACCATGGCTGAATTAGGCAATGTCGATCACATGCTGTAAAAGTTTTATTATCACTGTCTTGAGCCATTTCGAGAAAACCGTAAAATCTCGCTTTCTGAGTTATGACAAGTGTAGAAGAGTGCAGCGAAAGCAGTGCCTCCTGGAAGAGGCAACACCACCCATGGCTACGTAGTTTCGGTGCTTTATGAAAAATGGCTCATAAAAAGAAATTGCTTTGCACCGTGAATTGAAAAAAAAATTCATACGAGTCTCATTGTTGTATAAAATGCACCAAGAAAAATATTTAAAGGAAACTGCGACTTATACATCGGAAATTATGGTACTTTCCTCCTCGCCCCATGGCAACACAGAGCATGCGCACTTGCAACCAATCTCCGCAGGAGGCGTCCACGGCCATTAAATTGCAAACACTCCCCATGGTTTGAGATGGACTGTCTCTATAATCTAGACTCTCTACCAAACGACCGCTGCCATGGCGTCACCTCTTGGCAGTTTATCCACTTTCTGGAGCTCCTCGCTGAAGTAATATATTGACTGTCCCTCTCCCGCTGTGCCATTCCTCCCTACCCCCATGGTTCATTTATCTGCATATTTTGATTATTTGTCTGTGCTGCCTGCCATTACTCGTGGAACTTTGACTAGAATGTGTTGTTCAGCGGCTTTCTGTTTGCGTCATGAGAATCTTCCTATGTATGGAGGAATTATTTAATGCGAATACACCCTTAAATGAAGGTGGGAGTGCAGGTCCTGCAGTAATGGGTTTGTGGATGTCTATGGAAACTACTTGCACAACAGGACTGAGGCAGTATGGCATTGTACAGTGTAAACGCTCGCAAATACGCAATGTAAAATCATTATCAATGTTTTTGTGTGTTGAATAACATTCCTAATAGAACAAAGCTATACGCACTCCGCTAAACTCGTATAAGACGAATGGTCACAACGAGTTTTCTAAGCGATGGCATAGCATAGGGGTTAAGGTGTCAGCATTGCACGCAGGTGGATGCGGGTTCAATCCGCGGTGGGCCTACTCTTTTTTTTTTTTTTTTTTCGCAAGGCATTGACAATATTTATGACATTTCTTTTTTGCAATGATGTTGTCGACGAAACTTCGCCGAACTAAATGGTGAGGGTCTCCCTTTCCGGAGGTGCAATTGGAGACAGCAGGGCTTGGGTTGCGGGCTGGACGCCGCGAAGCGGCGTGTACTGGTTAAGTTTTGTAATTAGCAGTCGATACTGTCGCCGCGAAGCGTCGTGAACGCAGGCGGGGGGCTGTGTTAACGAGCTCCCCAGTGATACTCGCGCCGTTCGAAAAGGGTGTCCTGAGCGGCATGAGCTCTGCGCAGAGGAGTGCGTATAGCCATTTCGTCCGAAATGCACTCCGGAGTGCGTATAGCTTTACTCTACCTAATATATTTACGCAAAAGATTGTTTCAGGATGGACCATTCACACCCAACAGCACACTTTGTAATGTATTGTGCGTCTGCACTGGTGATGGCAGATCTATGCACATGCTGTTTGTCTGTAAAACTGTTATTAATTAGGAGGTGCAATATATTTTGATTGCTCACGAGGAAATTTCGAGGTAACTTTTGTGGTCACTGCAGTTAATGGGTGAATGCTTTACTTGCCATGTACGAGATTTTTGTAGATAATATTGTGCTGTATACATTTCAAACTGCTCCTAGTTTTTGATGGTTGAAGACCAATCTTCTCTACTGTCCCTGCCCTTTCAGATAGAGAGGCATGTCTTCGACCAGACGGTCACCACCATCAATAGTATATACTCGGACGCGGAGAAGATGAATGGAAAGACGTTTTGCGAGGGCTTCACGGCTTGCCTGACCGCATACCTGCTCTACCTGTGCATGGAAACGCACTACGAAAAAGTATGTGTCCTTTCCCAATGGCCACAGAGTCTCTTACACAAGCCCGTCTGTTGCAGTACCTCAAGCAGGCTGCCACCTACATAGACGAGCAAAACGAAACTGTCTACGTGCCACGGGGGCTACTCATCACAGATCCGATTGAACGAGGGCTCCGCGTTGTATCCTTCCACCCTCCTGTGCAGGAGTTAAGTTTGTGCTTTTAGATCTCTGATCCCCACCAGGGGGTTGGGTCGGCCATGCCTAGTGGTGCCCAACCACACTGGCTAGCCCGATCAAAAGGGTTTAGCTGTATGCATCCATCCTGGCATGTCAAGATTATTCTCGCGGTCAGCTTTGTGGCAATGCGAGGGGAGAGGGTGCACCAACTGCCTTACACACGCTTTCCTCCTCTCTTCGGATTGCCACAGAAAGCTGACCGCGAGTATAGTGTTCTGTACTCCGTTTCACCTTACGGTTGACCTCAGCACACGGCGCTTGATCGGCTGCGGTTGATCCTAGCCTCCGCTGTGGTTCGTCGGAAGATGGAACAGAGTATAGGTATTGCAATGAATGGTGCTGTGTGTTTGAGTGATCTACCGTGATGTCACTATCCCCCAGTACTTCAAAAGGGCTTTGATTACTTCGGCTACATGTTTTTAATCATTGTTTTTTGGCTGCCGTGAGTGAGTTTTTTACTGCAGCATTTCGTGGAGGCAGGGTACTTTACAGAGCTTCATATTATTGTTAGTGCCCAATAGCAGCGCAGTCTGTTCTGGAGCTGAATAAAGTGAAGGCTTAACCTTCAATTTGTTACAGAGGCACCCGCATCCTCAGATCAAGTTCCTATCCTACTGTCTGCAAGGAACGGCAATCTTGATGGTGTGAAATGCGCGTTGCAGAAGCACTGTGGAAGGTTAACCATATACAACCTATACTCCGTTCACCCTTACAAGGACACATGCAAAGAAAAAAAACATATTTTTTTTAAACAGCTTAGATGGGGAAAGGATATCATAAAACGATTTTACAACGAAGAAACAATTTTTAGAGCTATATTTACGGTGCTATACGAATTTGTAGTTGGCGCCCACGGGAGCCGCCGCTCGTCACATGGTCGGCCTGTGCGCCGCCGCCGCACGCTGAGCATTGTATGACGCCGCTTCAGCACGTTTCTCCACGCTGCCGTGGCCGCCGTCGCACAAGTTTGTCTGCTTCGGGGTGCCGCCGCCGTCGTCGTCGTCTGACCGGCGCACAGGTCTATCACGTCTGCTTGCGCTTTTTCGGGAGTTTCCTTTGGGCTCTAAAAGTTACTTATTTATCTTAGTTTTTTTGTTATACTTCAAACAAAGATGAATAAGTTACTTTTACAGGCCATAGGAAGCTTCCGAAAGAGTGCAAGCACCACGTGACAAATATGGGCCCGTCACGTGATAAAGAAGGACCACTTTTCCGCGGTGCCCGCCGGCGCCAACTACAAATTCGTATAGCGCCGTAAATATAGCTCTAAAAATTTTTTTCTTCGTTGTAAAATTGTTTTATGATATCCTTTTTCCATCTAAGCTGTAAGCTGTTTTAAAAAAAAAAATGTTTTTTTCCTTTGCATGTGTCCTTTAAGCTGAGACTGCAGCCAATACCACAACCACGAGGGCTCGAGGTCGCTGCTTCGAAGCATTCTTCTGCTCAGACTTCTCTGCTGGCAGCCCAAAACCGCTAGTCTAGGCTAGTGTTTCTGGGCTGCCGGCACAACATGGACCACATCTAAAGAAAGAAATAAGTGCAAACATTTTGGTTTTGTACCTCTTTAAAGTACACAAGGTAGCATTGAAATAATCTAAAAACTCACTTTGGCTTTTCAATTTTTCGTAATCCTTGTTGCTCACATAATCTTCTGCGCGTGCATCATCTCTGCCATAGCTAATTTTCTTCCAGAGATGTAAACAAATTTTGAAGCTCGAGGCGTGGGGATTACGATGGTACTTCGGACAGCCGTCAATTTCACACCGAATCATGCACGTAGTAATACCTTTTATATTTTATTTTAAGTTTAAACATGCACACAGAATATTAAAAATTGCGGCAAAAGCTAGGGATGCCGCAAACCACCCTAGATTCGAATTTGAAAGGTTTCAATACTTTTGAACCAAACTGATGTTCGAATTCAAAAGGTTTCAATATTTTTGACCATATGGAGGTTTGAATTCGAAAAATTCACAACTTTAAAAAATCGTGGAGTTTCCAATTCGAAAAGTTTGAAGGGTTCACGGTTTCTAAAAGTTTGGGTTCAATTATTTTGGATATTTTTTTTACTTGAGGTTCGAGAAATTCGAAGATTTCGAACTTTCTTAACTTGAAATTCAAATGTTTTGAATTTCTTTGGATCTGAAATTCAAAAAGTTTGAACGTGTAGAATTCTTATAGACATAAAGTTTGATAAATCTGAAGATTTTGAATTTCTACATAAAGTTTGAAAATTTCAAAGGTTTTGATTCTCTTTTAATGCTAAATATGAAAAAAAAAAAAAAAAAAAACTTCGAAGGTTTTGATGTTTTTTTAGTTTAAGTGCGTAAAGTTTGAAGTCCGGTTTTCATGTTCCTTCACAGTTACAGTTTCAAATAACGCTTTCACGCCTCACTGGTTTTCACAAAATCAGATTTAGGAAAGTTCGGGTGTGATATTTAGACTGCGCGAAGTTGGTCAGGCAATTAAATGAGACGACGAGTGTCCTGGGTGTGCTGGAATATTTGCCAGTGCAGAGTGACGTGTGACCATAGACCAGTAATTGTGACCGCCAGCCCGGGGGGGTCATTACATGCATCACGAAGTAGTAATCACACAAACGCACTGTTTAACAATACTCATCCAGTTTGAAACGGCCAAATTCAGGCAGGTAGTTAAGGCTCAGAAAAACCTTGAAGCGATCTGGCAAACTGCCTCCCTACCCCCTTGCACGCTGGCAGTAATCCGACCGAACGCCACCTGAGTGACGCTGGCATATAGTAAGTTTACTTTATGCATGATGCAAAATCCTGTGACTGGGAATGAAATTTAAAAGAAAAAGTGTAAGAAGACAGAAAAAAGGGGACAGGACAACGTCTCAAACTCAACTCAGCTGAAAACTCAGCTTAGGACAACGTCTATTGTGTACAGGTTTCAAATTCCAAAAGCTTCCTCTGACAGCCAAATGTTGTAAGGACTACTTCGTGCCGCGCATGGACAATGCGCAAGACTTCCTTTTTCCTTGAAGTGAAAATGAGTATAGATTAAAGTCATTTCCTTGGGAGAACCACTTAAGTTGGGCCAAATTGTTCCTGTGAAAATATGCATAGCACTGAAAAAAATATCAATGTAGTTTTGGTCCCTGCCAAAAGTCAAATTTAGGAAAAAAAATAAATGACATAATTAGGTTAAAAAATACTTTGAATAATTCACTTCATAATTGATAAATTTAAGGTATCTTTTCGATTGGAAACATGGTGAGCATTATTGAAAACTATTAAATTCACCCACATTATAAAGATATAAGGCAGGTGCAGCTTTTTATGACTCACAAGTGCACATTTCATGGCTTTTTTTAATAACAATTTTCAAAGCAGACCCCCCCCCCCCCCCCCCAAAAAAAAAAATAAATAAATAAAAACACCCTGTATAAAATGACTGAAAAACGGACCAGGAAAATGATTTACTTTGGGAAACATTAATATGAAATTTTGTGACGATAAACACTCGTGTAAATGGTAGCCTGTTGCAGTAGTGCCAAAGATGGCATCGAATTGCCATTTTTTGGAATATCTTGATTGGGGTTGGTGTGTCCATGAACCAGACTATTTAGTGTGGGCAAATTATTTGCATACTACCGTAAAATCCCAAGAGATGCCCCACCCCCAAAAGGTAACCCACTCCATATTGATTTGAAAGTTTCTCTTAAACACCGAAAGATAGCCCACTCCTAGTAATCGCAGTGTTCGGATCAATGATAACCTCGGCGTAAATATGCCTAGTTAGCTATGGCGGGATGTAATTGAACATCGCTGACAGGGAAGTAGTCATTTTTGCTTCATTGCCCCTCGTCAAGATAACAAGTTTGATAGAGACACATGATCTTAATATAGCATTTTTTTTTTCAACTTTTCTTGACTGCACACCGAAAGTTGACCCACTCCTTGTTATCACGCAATTTCCTTTCGATTTTAGGTGGGCTATCTCTCGAGATTTTACGGTAGATGTTTTTTTGTGGATGTTTCTTATGGATGTTTCAAAATCCTCCAAAACTAAATCGCTGCAAGACATAAGCCGTTTATATATTTAAGTGAAATTCTGCTTTCTCCATCCAAGATTGCACTTGAAAGCACCGCACGTGGCGGTCACAAACTCTTGCAATGTGGGAGGTATGTCATGGTGGGAACAGCCCTGTGTGGTGCTCTTGGATGCATTTTCCTTGACTGCAGCTGCCATCCCAGATCGAGATCAGCATCCTGAGCGAACAGAGCGCCAGGTCATGATCCCTCGCCCTGCTCGGCGAAGCGCTTTTTTTCCGGCCTACGCGATGCTTCCCAAATTGTCGGTGCAGCGTGTCACGGACGAGCACTCTCCTGACGGCTTGGGACAGAAGTTGGGCGCCGTTGTGTGTACAAAGCCAGCTGTGCACGTCCGGTTGCTTGTCTGCCTTGGCGCTCCACGTGTGCTTGAGAGAAACAGTGGAGCAGTGGGTGACATGTGTATTATAAGGGCAAGTGTGGTTTCTCGGTTTCTATGATTAAAGCTCACTAACAAATGCCCATGGTGTGCTGCATTGGAACGGCACAAAGATGCCCGGCAAAGCTGGAAGGTGAGTGGGCTACGAGAAGAGTGTGTGCATCATCAATACCTGCAGTGCGTATGTGTACCACTCTCAAAAGCCGGGGTGAATAGCTTGAAGCACTGCACGGGCCACTTCTTTGAGCCCAGACCTGGCCCGGGCCCAGTGTCATGGTAATTTATCCGCCCCAGCCCGGTCCAGGTGTTTGGAACCGGGCCCAGGCTGTTCTGAGCCCAAGCGATTTCTATGCAATGGCAATCGGTTCATCGAACAATGTTTCATCGACAGTTCGGATTAGTTGTCTTTCTGTAATGAGCCGCCTCGTGCTGTTGCTGCAAAGCGGCATGTACGGGTGGGCCAAGTGGATTAACATTTTTGTAATGAGCCACCGCAGACGCTGCGAGGCGGCATGAACGGGTGGGTCAGGTATATTAGCGCGCGCCCCAGTGATAAACGCGTGATTAGAGGTCCCTACTACATCCAATTTGAACAAAGAGTATGAATGAAACCTTGGCATCAATGAAACGTGTTCATAAAATGCGAGTTGTCCAGAAAGCATATTTCCACGAAACGTGTTTGCATGAAACTATATAAACCATTGCTATGTTGTCTAGCCCGCCACGTTTTAGAAGACTTGGGCCCGGCCCATGCCCGAGTTTGTGTTGTCTAAACTTCGCCGCGTGGAGTTTGAAAGTATTGGGCAACGTCATTTTATGCACTTCTGCGACCATTGTAGGTGGATTGCTGGTACAAAACTTTTTTTCTTGTATATCTGTACCTGACGGTGCTGCAAATAGCGTGTAAATTTAACTGGGCTAGTCCAATTGTGATACTGAAGAGTGATATTAACCTAATAAGTAAGAAATAACAAAAACAATAACCTTCTGTGCTGTGGAAGGTTATTGTTTTCGTGTTTCTTAAGCGACTCGGTGCAGCGAACAATACTGACAGACTCCGGGCTAACTGGCTGGCCAAGGTGCGACAGGCAGTGGTGTCCATCTGGAGCTTTCACTGCACTGTGTACTTGGACTGAATCCAATAGTTCAAAGGGAAAAACGTAAAAAAAAAATAATAATAATGACATCTGGCAATGCAGATCGTTTTCTCTGTGCAGGGCAGAATTAGCAGGATGGCTCTTCCGGCTCTTTGCTTTATTGTAGGTTCGATTATAGGCGAGAGGGTTTGTGGCTTCTTGCACATTGTTGGATGCACCGTTTTGCAACACATTCTTACAGCGTCAATGACGACGTGATGACCGTTGGTGCAGCTAGCAGGGCTGCCACAGGTATTCGAGAACTTAGAGGTGCGAGCAGGAGACATGCGAACAGTTCCGTCTGAGCAGGCTTTGAATATTAGATTTGGCTTGCGAGAAAGTCGCTGTGCGTTGTGTTTGGTATTATTTCGCAGTGCGCATCAACCAGTTATGATAGCAGTGTGCTCAGCCCCTCAATTGGAGTATATAAAGCCGCATTATTACTCTTTTGTTGAGTGTTGTGATGCCCAAGAGAAACTACGCAAAATATTGTAGAGGCTGACATGCTCCACTTGGGGGAGCAAGGCGAGAACTACAATGGCTTGCGATGCAGCTGAGACATTTCATACTTCTATCATGCATGCTATGCTTGCCGTGTATAAATTCATCGTTCTACAGTGTGTCCTGTTGTCTCCCATAATAAATTATGGCAGCATACATAATCGCGTTTTATTTCTCGCCACCCAGACGAAGTTCTATGTAAATATATGCATGCAGCGGAGTAAAAGTGCTATACTCGTTTGTTTTTGGTTCTGTCAGTCTTTTTTTCTTTTTTTTTTTTTATGGACTAGTTCCCCACTGAATTTCTATACTATTAACACTGGTTGGCAAGCCTGGATCTGGCTTGGACCGCAGCCCCGAGTCCGATCCAGGCCTGCCAAGAAGCTCACCCGAGACCAGGCTTGGGCCCGTAAATAAAAAGCCCCTACCCGGCCCAGGCCCACCAAAACACTGTCATACCCGTGCAGCTGCTCTAGAAAAGTGTACCATGCAAGCTCAGTTGTAGTGCATAGCCAAAAAAGCACTTCCGAGACCTGGGTGCCTCCCGAGGCCTCCCAAGTGGTGTGGGTCGAGTTGCTTCAAGAGGTTTTCAAAAAATATGCACACAAGAAAGAAAGGAGCAGTAGTCAATTGTGTGCACTAGGGTGCCTTCAGGTGCGCTTTGCTTAGGGCGATGACATCTAACCATTTTGTTCAGACGCCTTTTTTTTTTTGTGTGTGTGTTAAGGAGCGCGTGAAAGCCCCCCGCCCCCCGCCCCCCCCCCCCCCCCCCCCCCCCCCCCGCACGCACGCACGCGCTCTTGGCGCTACTGCGGCGACATTTTGTTCTCGACGATCGTATTTGCCCTGTGAGCGCATGTCACCGTCGGGTGACAGCATCACCCCCCTCCCGACGCCCATGGTAGGGTGTGTGTAGGCATACTTGCATTCGTCGTCTGCTGCAGGCATCTTGAGGACCGGAAGTTGCAGTCGTAAATATTTCAGAAATAAGTGATAACCGGCACACTTCTGTCGAAACATATATGACATTCAAGCTCTCTATATCTTCGATTTTTAGAAGTTTAAATCCTACTCCTGATTTTTGAACGGTCGGGCTTTCGTAGCGAAACCTAGCCACATGCATTTGTCCATAACAACGACCCTAGCAACGGTTTGTTTGGACCCATGACGTCACACTTACGGAGTCAATTCTCCGCCCAAATGTTGCGCCAGCGGTCCGATTCAAGAGTTGCAATTTTGTGAAAATACCAATGCAAAAATGCGACGTTGAGACGTTCTTATCCCCTGTCCTTTTTCTTCGACCAAGTTTCCCAGCTTTTACCGCAGTCTCGGGTATTCTACTCCAGGAAAAATGCCCCACGGTGTTCGGCTAATACATACGAAAGCATTTTCCCATTAAAAATTTCAGAAAGTCACTAACTTTTGAATAGACAATGGTTAGCGCTGAAGCTTTCGCATCTGGTCTGGACCATTAGCGCTACATTTGCGCAGAGAATAAGCGTTCGGCGATCCGTAGTTTATTTTAGCGGTTTAAAAAAAAAAAGCACAAGAGAAACATTACTGTCTTTATTGTAAGTTCTGGCTCCAATTCGATACAAATGCGAGCGTGTATTGGAAGACTGTTGGGGGCACGTCGAAGCTTAGTCGGGCTTAGTCTTCGAAGCTGTATCCGCTGTCTACGTGTTCCGTGGTGGGGGAGTCGCCGGCGTCGCTGCTCTCGTTCAACCGGTGTAGGAACGACTGCAGGAGTGCCTTGTTCAGGCGGTCCGTCAGCGATCGGCCTTCCTCGGCTTCGCCGTTCGAGATTCCGTCGGTGCTCTCCGGTTCGGACATGGTAGACGGGATGCCTCGTTCCGCACCGCGAACCAGAAACCTGCAAGTGTTCCGCGGACCACACGGCGTAGCGCATGAATGAATCACGACTCGCCTCGGAATCGTTTGGAAAGGACGACAACCGTCTACTAAATATCGGACAGAGAAAACGGGTCATCAGAAGCGTGATTCAGTACGAAGCCAATGAGTGGTAACGTGGATTGTCAATGGAAGCCTACTTACGAGTACGAATCGCTTCCAAATTGTCCGAATGACGCGTCTGTCTTGCGCCAGTCAGCTAGCCACTCCCTTTCCTGCCGTAGTTTTTAAAGGTAGAGCGGTAGAAGGCCGTAGAGGCGTAGACCTGGGCGCCGCCGCGCCGCGCCGCGCCGCGCCGCCGCCGCCGCCGCCGCCGCCTGTTTTGCTCTCGCCGCCCTGCGCCGCCGCCGGAATCCCCAGAGCCAGCACGCCGCCGCCGCCGCCGCACAATAAATCCGGCGCGCCAACGGCACCGCCATCTTTTTTTTTTTTTTTTTTTTTTTTTTTTTTTTTTTTTTTTTTGGGGGGGGGGGGGGTTGGTTTTTTTTTTCTGCTTCTGTATGAGTTTTACCTACTATATTATGCATAAAAATGAATAGATTTTTTGCCTTTCATTTTTACTCCTGTAAATATATCAATAAATGTAGAAGTTCCATAAAAAACGGAGACACGGAACGATAAAAAAAACGGACAAAACAACAAGTCTCAAACACGGTTTGTTGTTTATGTGAACAACGAACGTTGTTAGACATACCTCAAAACCCTCACCACCATAAAAAGAAACACCTCCTCTTCACTAGGTCACCGAGAGCCGGACACTCAGACAGAACCCATATGATTCATGATTCAGACATATCTAAATGATTCACACCAACCAGCCACCCTGATGACCTCGCTTGAGGGCTGACCAGCCACATGCGATAACAGGCAACTCCAGCTCCAGCACAGCCCTTACAATTCTTAGAAAACACACAAAAAACGCTTCATGTCACTGTCCAATACCAAGGACGGTGTGCTTACTCAATTACCAGAGGTCAAGATAGGCATGGTCTCCCTCAGAACTCTCCTACCATTGCTGATTGTTGGGCGAGTTAGTATTGTGCGTGAGAAAACATGATTGCGCTTTAAGACATAGACAGAGGAAGAACACCACAGAGCGCTTACTTTCAACTGATTTAATCCAAGAGCCTCAGCGTAGATACACACTGCGTCACCGCACCACATCTCAACCAATCCGTGGCGCCGCCGCGGACCGCAAATACACTATCTCTTTTTCTGCAAAGTCGATTGAAACCACGCATGACTGCAGGTGCAAACCATTATTTGCTTCTTCCACTGTTCTCGCTAGGCACAAAGATAAGACTGTTAGAGAGATAATTGAGGCGGACTCCATCAATAGTTCAGGCACGTGTTGTGCACGTGTTTTTTTTGTTTTTTTTCTGGCACCCCTGAGGACCACCCGCAAGGAGGTCAACCTTTCTAATTTGTGGTGAGCTTTAAAAACTAAATTTACACCGAACCTCTTTGCCACTGATATAAAGTTATGAGAGATTCCAAGGTAGTAAGGTACACACACAACATTCTTTACAACCGTTTTTTTCCACAGGAGCCGGATTGAACGTACGTTCCTTACACCTTGAGCACATGTGTAACAATCTCATCCTGCTGTAATTGTTAAAATGGTTTTGAACGAAAATTGAGCTTGGCAGAAGGTATTGTCGGTTTTTATCTAGAAATGCCTGACAGGAGTGGAGCAACAGTCTATTGTCACTAAAAAACTCTGAGCAATTGATTGAAATATTAAATCCGCATCATGGGAGAAGGTGCGATGTGACAACTGTGACATCAAAGACTTATGTTACTTTATGGACAAGTCGGAGCTGTTAAAAGGGTCAGGAGGTTGTGTGATGATAATCTAGTGAAGCTGCAGTCTGCCACTGGGATTGATGTAGATAGAATTTTATCGGCATTCTGGAGTTTCATTTAGAGTCCACTGCCGTAGACTTTGATGGTTCTCTTTTTATTCACAATCAGGGTGTGTGTACCGGGTCGTGAATTGCTCCAGTGTCGTCCGAGATTTTTTTTCTTTTTAAACGAGACTTATGTAAACGTTGACACGGTTGGGCGGTCCTTGTCGATTGGACTGCACAGCCCTGCCATCGCAACAGTCGACTTACGTACTTACATACCTACTGTTGCACAAGGAAAAGGGCCTGTGCTGGAGGTACGGCAAGGAATCAGCCAAGCCTCTAATGGCAGCTGACAGCTGTCAATTGAAAATAGTTAAGAGTGGTGTAATTGCGTCTGCGATGGATAACGACTGTAAAGAATCCCGTATGTTTTGGGTTGGTGAGGCAGTTGAGTTGCAAAAGATGCGTCGTCTGGAAGCGGGCCATCACCACGATGTAATTGTTAGAGTTGTGCTCAAGGTGCTGAAGGTTTAATCCGGCTCCTGTGGAAAAACCGGTTGTGAAAAATGGTATGTGTGAGCCTTACTACCATGGAATCTCTCATAACTTTATATCAGTGGCAAATAGGTTCGGTGTAAATTTAGTTTTCAAAGCTCAGCACAAATTAGAAAGGTCAACCCCCTTTCTGGTGGTCTTCAGGGGCGCCAGAAAAAAACATAAGAACCCAAATGTAACTTTTCAGGCAGGAGTGGTGTACGGGACCCTCTCATTTCGTCGAAACTCGTTTCGTAGAATTACGTATCGCAGACAACTTTTCATGGGCACACGTTTCACGGACACACGTTTTGTCGACACGATCGTTTCATCGACACTCGGCAAGCGAATTGAACGCTGTAGGGAGTCTAGGGATATCTCGTCACGCGTGTATCACTAGGGTTCTGATGGAGTTGCCTGTTATCGCATGTGGCTGGTCAGTCATCAAGCGGGGTCGCCTGGGTGGCAGGTTGGTGTGACCATGAATCATTTGGATTTGTCCGAGTGTCCGGCTTTCAGCGACCTACACTCTAAAAAAAAGGGGTGTATTCTTACACCTTTAGTCCCCCATAAGACGCCCCAAAACTTCAGACGTCGATCTGACGGAACTACCTTTCACGAGAGGCTTGATATCCCTGTGGTACAACTTATTAACATAGCTAATGTGCGTGTTACTGACTACAAAAAAAGATAATCGAGGTTTTCTTGGCCCTACTGCAAAACCTCAATGCTTTCTTTCTGTGGTCTTTGATACATACTTTAGCTATTTAATCAGTTATATCGCTCCGTTATCAAGCCCCTTGTAAAATGTGTGGCCGTCTGTGCGCCGTGCGTCAAACCAAAGTTTTTGGGTGCGTTATATGGGACAAAAGGGTGTATGGTGATACCCTTTTTTTTAAAGAGTTCTTTTTTGGTGGTGAAGGTCTTGACGTATATATAAGAGCGTTCCTTGTTCAAATAAACTATACCCGTTTTTCAAGAAAAAAAGAAAGTTTCGAGCATTTATTTATTTATTTATTTATTTATTAAACTACCCTCAGGGCCCGAAGGCATTACAGAGGGGGAGAGCACATACATGAAACAAAGATGTTCGTACACGCGACGCAAAGTCTTACGAGATTTGGTTGTCGAAGAAAAAAGCGATGATTTTGGCGCTGGAACGTACGTCTTGATAACATATATAGTAGAATCCAGCTACATATATCTTAATTCTCCACATAAAGGTGGAAATTAGTAATGGTTCGCAAGGAGTCGCTCTTTTTATTAGAGTTCTTGACGTGAAAACGGGTATAAAAGCTGTGTTTGAGACTTGTTGTCTTGTGCGTTATTTTTATCGTTTCGTGTCTCCCGTATACTATGAAAGTTCTTCACCAGCTCGCCAGTGTTGTTAAAGGGACACTGACAGGGTATTTATGCTCGCCGAGGTTTTTAGTTGTGCGTGACATATGAGAGCTCAACTACCCAGAACAGAATTTGCGGCTCGAAATTCAGTTTCTTTCCGCCCGAAAACCGCCGATCAAGAACTGGCCGGCTCGAGTCTCGCTCACTCTCTTTTCCGCGGTCACGGGCCGTTTTCTAAGGTATCGATGCGACCACCAAATTTAATCAAAGTCGTGGGTCGCTGAAAGCACACACTCAATATTAAAAATAGAAAAAAATATAAAACCCATTTTTTGTGGCTTCTAAAAAGCTGCAAACACGTTGATTGAAAAAAAAGTTCCACAGACAACCGGAAGCATTCTGTGCGTGCGTCGTTTCGCGTATCGTGGGACTCGCAGGGACGGCGATGGCAGCGGACGACGGGCGTGGGACCTCTATTTCAGAACTGTCGTTCGCGGTACCGGCGAATTTTGTCTGCCTTTAAAAGAGAAATTTGGGACTGGTCAAAAGAATTGGTATTCATCCCGCACGACACGCCCGACCACCAAGCCGATTTGCACGAAGACGTCGCCGAGCCGTCGCTCCCTTCTTGTGGCTGAAGACATCGCTCGCGCAAACGTCAAGCGCGACGTGTCTACTTCTAGTGGAATATGCACGCGTACGATTTCTTTACTAGGTGAGAATGTCGTCAATGCGTGGTGCATCCCGACTTCGACCCGGGAGTGCTTTTGCTAGAGGAAAATCGGCAGCAAACTTTCCGACTTACAGTTTATCGGCTGAATTATTACTAAGGAAAAAGATACCCCACTTTCGATGTGCCCCAGTAGCTCAGTGGGAAGGACGTCCCCTTCGCACCCGGTAGAGCCGGGTTCGATCCCCCGTGAAACTTTTTTTTTTTTTTTTTTTCTAAATATTTTTTGATGTCTACATTTCTTTTTTTTTTTACAATTATTACTGAAGAAAAAAAAAAACAAACAAATGTTGTGGACGACACGTCACTGAATTAGATGGTATGGGATATCCTTTTTGACACCTGCGGACTCAATGTAATCACTTTCCACAAAATACAAGGAGCATATAAATCAGGTAGCGTCCGCTTTCCGAGGTGCCCGTAAATGGTTTACAGGAATTGCAGCCAGCCATTGGTCCCGATCCCGTTGATCTTTCGGAAACTCTGTCGCACAATGCCCCTTCTGTTTCGGACGCGGGACATGTGAGCCAGCTCTGCACGCAACATCTTGGGTGTATTCTTTTCGGAGCCGGTCAAAATTCACCACGGGCACTCACTACTCATCTCCAACTCCTCAATGTACAAAACAACTCATCTTGGAGTAGAGAACAACGAGCGGAACATACATAACTGCAAAAGAGTCCCACGGCGAGCAGTTCCCAAACGCCGCATGTCGTCTGCTACCGGGAAGGAGAGAAAAAAAAACAAAAAAAAAAAACAGACGGTCGGGTGTAGCCACGTGACTTCCGCCACTCACTCCCTTCTCTCCACTTCTCCAACCTCCGTCGGGTTTCGGTTTCGGTTTCGAGCAGTTGCGCCTTTTGACTTTA